ATTTGTTAACAGTGAAGCAACTTATGTGGAATGTTTTTTTCTTCTTCAGTTTTAATAAAAAGTTTGAAAAATATCCCCCCAAAAAATGAGTTTTGAAGGATTTGTTGATACTGTGAGATAAATAATAGCATGAACAGGTAGAAGTGCATAGTTAATAACCAGATTAAATAATGTTTGTTAGGAGAAAAACAAGACAGAAAACATATATCTAAGCATATCTAACACACTCCTTTTCTTTTTTTTTATATACTCAACTTTGTTTGAGTATACGGTGTTTGCCTGTATCACTGCCTGTATCAGCAGTGACCCTCTCACTGAGTAATTGGAGCCACATCGCTGAAACAGGATCTGTGGGGTGAACAGGTTCATTTCGCAAAACAAGTTTTCTTAAGCAGTATAAACAGCCCATCTCTGGAGAAACGTATAACTGCCAATGGCATATTTAGCTTTATATTCCAAATTACGTTTTAAACTCAACCAAGAGGTTTACTTCTGAAAAAAACAAATATAAAAAACAAAACATAAACAGTGCGAGAGAGGAGTATCGGTGAAGAATTTAGATTTTTAATAAAATGACATGAATAAACAGATGTATGCCCTTACTAATATGCTGTGAAAAAAGAAACATTTATACAGTACAGCATCTAACCTTATTTTACAATCTACTACCAGCTTGTTGCACGTTTCCTCTAGTTTTTTTTTTAAAGCTTTCTCAGCAGATTCTTGATTAAGTCTGGAGTCCGACACCACATTTTTAATACTATTTCCAACTTCAAACTTAATTCTGTCAGGGGCCTGAATAATTATGGGCTTAACTGTTTTTCAGTGGGAAAGAGAAGACAACTTATCATTATAGCAAAGGAGATATATGACCTTCACAAGTAAGCCTGCCGCAACACGCAATAAGTCAGTTAATCACATGAGAAATTAAAACGAACTTGGTAATTTGCATTTGATTATTTTTTTGTGTTTTTCTACCAAATACTAGGTGATACAAGTTTTCAGTCTAGTGCTTTAGTCTCTACTAGACCCTTTTTTTGAAGGTCAGTTTTGTTTACAGACTTCAGAATTCAGAATTAATTTAATTATACAAAATAAAGAAAACCATTGAAACAAATAGTCTCCCAGTTCCAGTGTTAAATGTTCTTTAGAAATTAAAAATTGTTGATCTTAAAGAGGGTACACTTGTGTCATTATGCCATTGCCATTATATTACTTGAAAATCGTCTCAAAACAGCAAAATTATTGTTAATTGCAATAACTACTGGGACAATTTGTCATCCAACAAAATTTATCATGACAAGCCTTTTCATATGGAATGGAATGGTTATGGAATGGATCCCCTGTGCTTCAGTGGAACTAATGATTTTTATTTTGCCTTTATGCATCTTTATTGCTTAAGCCGATGTCTTTAAATGCTGTGGATGATCAAAAACTCCAAACCAACGATTGCATTGCCCTTAAAAAAGACAAAGCCACACATTTCCACGTATTATGCTGTTAACTGTGTTGTTGTTTATTTCTTGAAGAGTGTTATCTGTATCTTGTGCACAGTGAGTTTTCCAGATTCCACAGTTTTATCTGTGTGCACCAGCAGCCTGAAGATGGTTTTACAGTGACAGCTGGTTATCATGTCGTATTAATGGCTTTAAGATGTGAGCTGCGTTATCTGACACCACAAGCTGAAAAACATGCAAACTAGAACAACTTTATTTAACCGTGTTACTAGTGAGTGCATGTTTTTTTTAAATGAAATGCTACATCTTGCTGTTTGTTTTTTACGAGAAATCATGTCTATAGTGAAACAAAATATTCATGACATCAAACTGAATTCTGCTCTGTTTTTAGAAATGGGGTCAACTCTCCTCTGTAGTTTCTTGCTTCAGACAAGTTTCTTTCCTTATTCATCAGAGGCTAACATATATGCAAGTAAATATTTCCTACTTTGCAGTCTGGCCTCAATCTGTTGCTCCAACATGGTTTTAAATAGGTTTAGAAAACAACTACAAAGTTCTTTAACACTTACCGTAACCTGAAATGGGCGCAGTTTTATTGTTTATTTTGTTTCAGGTGTAAACATATCTGAGTTGATCAATACAACAATGAAACAGTGTTTTTCTTGGGGTAAAGCACACATTGTTTTTGAAAAACCAGCGCTCTGTAATATTTATGTATAAAATGTATTTCAAAAGTGGGCAAAATATGTTAGACATGCAGAATTTGAATTCATGCCAGATGAAAGATAAAATCTAACCAGATGTTTCATTCAAACAGTCCTTTGCAGTTACAGTATTGCATAATTTCAGAAATTGTAAATCTGTCTTGTGTGACTACATAAATTCAGACTTTTTTCAGGTAGGCTGTGCATTTGACAAATCCTCCAAAGTCAGAAACGGATTTAAAAAATAGTTGAATATCATTGTGAGCTCCTGAATATTGCATAATAATTGATGACTTGATAGAAAAAAATTAAATGCTTTAACTATGGAAACTTCAAATTACTCACAACTTCCAGTTGTTTCTTTTCTCACATGAATAATATGATTTTTGCTGTGCTTTATCCCCTTTCATACCATACATTTACCTTGAATTTAATATTTATTGTTCTGTAAAAAAAAGTTGTATTATAATGAATATTTATTGGATGATGATGCTTTCATTTACTCTTCCATTCAAGCATAAACACTGAAATAAAGAGCAATAAACCTACAGGTGACATCTGTTCATCTGACAAGTTACAACCAATTCAGTATTTTCTTTGGCTCACTGTAAATATGATGTTAGCTCAGTCCTGTTATCATCCATATTCAAGCAAACATTGAATTTAAAGAAACAAAAGGGAAAGACATTTTTTAAATACTCTAAGGTATGTGAGCTTTTCTGCAGTCCTGACACATGTACACCTTTCTTTCTGACATTTTCAGACTTTCAAACTAAAGTGACGAGGAAGATGAGTGATGACTGACAGACCAGATTCTCTAATAAGAGAACAGAAGCATCGCTTTGCTGGAAGGATACGGCAACAAAGACACAAACCTTGCTGCTTCAAGCTCTCTCTTCTTTTCACCACTGCTGAAAAATAATAGCAGCACTTTTTACCAAGAAGTGTTAAAATGTAAAAGAGGAAAGATGAGGAATTATCCAGTAATCAGAAAATAGAGAGAATAACGCAGAAGCCATCTGACTCTCAGATTTAGTTTATCTGCTCTGATAATGAAAGTGGATGTTGTGGATTTTGTTTTTACAGATCTGTTGCGGTGTTTACGTTCATCTTCCTCCATTTCACCATCTGCATGGTTTTAATTATTCACCTGGTGCTGTACCTGTAAACAAGCCAGTTTTTGTCACATGATGACGAACAGTGCGCCTTCTGTGTTTTTCTCATGGCCACATCTGTCAAATGACACTTGTGCTTCATCAGTTCTCTGTGCATGACTTTAAATCACTGCAACCACCAACTCAGAAGTCATATACTTTACAGTAATATGTACAATGTTAGTGAGAGGAGTTGCACATTTACCTTGGTCAGGTGGATTTTCTGTTTTCACTAACCACGATCTGATCGCTAAATCTGATTGTAATCTTCATCACCTGATGTTCTCCCATCTTCCTCATATATTTCTTACTTTCAACTTTCATGCTCATCAGCAGTAGCTGCTCCTTGTCTCTTTCTCCTTGTTTGACTTAATCCAAGTCTCACTTCTGAGCCCGACTGCATACCGCTGGCTATACTGTGTTGCCACGTGACTCCTGCTTTGTTGAAATCCATCGCGTGCCCCCCGTCCCCTCTCCCATCTTACTTTGTTCTCATTAAGTGCTCATGTGAGAGGTCATATGAGGACGTGTCCCCTCTCTGTGAACCACCGTGGAAACGGGTCAAAACCCTGTTGTTAGGTAAGACTACAGAAGACCTTTCCTTTATAATTCTAATTGGTTCACCTTTTATTATCTTTCATATCTTCACAATAGCAGGAGTAATTGTGAATATATGGCTCACTGCTTCAATAGACCAAACCTGGCTGAACATGTCAATGTGCCTGTCGCAATGACAAATTAATCAATTTATTGCATAATAACTTAAAATGAGCACAGTTATTTACATTTAGGTTTATATATTTTAGGAAAAATTGTTTACAGTCACAAAATCTGTTTTATTTATGATTTTAGTGGTGTGTGGTTTTTCTTTTATTTGTTGTTTTATTTTGGATATTTAAAATATCTTCCAGTCCAAATGAACTGCCATATGCCGTCAACTTCTGTTTAATAGGTTTCGAGAGCTAAAAAAAAAAAAAAAAAACAGTTCAAATGATAAGACTTTGTAAAATCTAACCTTGGGCAACAGAACTAACTCAGTCACCATACTTTTGCATTTAGACTCTTTATGACATTCTCCAATAAAGCTCAGGGACCTATAGTGGAGGTTGAACACAGTTTCACAGTGGTATGTGCTTTTCCACTTCTGTTTATTTCATAGAATGCGTCCAGATGGTGTATGTGTGGAAAAAAATCTCACAGTGGAGAACTGGCAGTAATAAACCCACTGGCTGTTGCACAATATTTGGCGAAGAACCCTATTTCTGTCAGTAAATTATTTTTTTTCTGCCAATGACCGTCATTTCACGGTTTTCTCGATTGTGTGAGTAGGTGTGTGTGTGTGTCTGTGCAGTTGGCTTACAAATCCAGCCAATAGCTGCAAGACGCAGTGTCTGGCTGTCCGTGCCTTTTGCTAAATATGCTAATAGCCCAACACCTGTTTGGATAAAAAGGGAAAATGCACATCTTCACTGTCAATCGGCCAGAATCCCACTCCGTGAAGGGAACACAGCTAAACTAGTTGATTCTTTACGTTGAATCTGTAGTTTGGAGGGGGTCCCTGGATGTGAGCTCATGGTGAATGTTTCTCCTGTTTCTGTTGGTTTTCTATCCTAGATTCATTAGATTCACTCTAAAGCACAGACATCATTCTTTAAACTTTGTGTCTTTTCCCTCTCTCCACTCAGTGATGGAGCCCATGACGGTGACAACGTCAGTGGTTGGACCCGATGAGTTCGACCGCAATGCCCCACGGATATGCGGCGTGTGCGGAGACAAGGCCACCGGCTTCCACTTCAATGCCATGACCTGTGAGGGCTGCAAGGGCTTCTTTAGGTGCGTTTGGGGATTTCCAGTGTCACATTTTTATATTTTATGTAATCTAGGTAGATTATTTGCAATTTGTCATCTTAATAAACAAAAGCACAGCCTTTTATACATTCAGGGAATGTTTTTAAGTCTCAGGTTCCATTTCTAAGTTTTTATGATATACTTAGTTTTTCACAAACTTGGATCTGGTAAAGACCAGACCATGTACATGTTAAAACCCTGGAAATGACAAAGAGTTCTTAGTGACATTTAAATGCAACTGATCTGTTTGCTTTTGGTCATTGTAATTTGCCAATAGTCATAATGACGTCAGCTGAATTTTACTATTTCGTTACCTTTCTAAAATAATGGCCTAGGTTGTTTTTTGCCAAAAGTCTTTTTTTTCTTTTTCTTTTTTTTTTTACCTTTATGATCTGGCAAAAATAAGTGATTTTATTTTATTTTTTGGCAAAGTCACTTAGTTCGGCCATTTTATTTTGGAACGGTAACAATATCTAGGTTGTAAATATGTAAATTGCTAAAACTTTTCAAGTGGCTTTATTTTATTGTATTTTAGGCAAAATAAAAAACATATATTTATTTTAAGAAAGAATCAAAATATTATTTGCATCTCTTAGTGTATTTCTATTATGGTATAAAAAGCCTTAAAGAGTTAAATGAAAAATTTGCTTAATGTGCCAATTTCTTTATCAGATTATTTGATTAATTATCAGAATATTCAATAAATTTAGTAAAATACTTCTTAGGTGCAATCCAACACTGAATGTATTTTCCTGCTCATCTGACTGAATAGTTTTATTCTACTAAATTTTATTTCAAGTTTGGATTGATTTTGTCTTCTAAAATACTTTAAAATGGCAGTTATTTTAAGCTTAGAAGCCTAACTGAAAGACCGAATTAAGTCTCTGTGGAGTTTTTATCAGACTGTTTCTAAAAATGCACCAATCAGGGTTTTACTGGTTGAGAACAATTTGCTGGTTGTCCTGAGATCTAAATCTGATGATACATTTTTTAAGGACTATATTCCAAAAAAAGTTGTAGTTTTGATTTACAGCAATAAATTAAAGCAATGCTAACAAAATTGATCACATCAGCTTATCAAAGAACCTTCATATGATTTTTATTCAGCCAAAAAATGTGAGGTGCACAACCTGTTCTTGTTTGCCTTGTAGCAATTAGTTTTCAGTATTTGACCGACAGATCAAAGATGATTGTTTATTCTACCAGAATCTATGTAGTTATAGTTTTAATACCACTGCCAATAACAAAAAATTTTTTTCTGGACATCCTTAAGTTTAAGTTCCCTAAGTTAGAATGAAATAAACATTTCTGTATTTTTTTAGTTAATGGGTCATGCTTCTCTTGAATATGTTGGTGTTGCTTGCCTGCACATTAACAGAGGACTCTGTGAATAAGTCACTAATGCATGTGTGCTGTTTTGAGGTGGAGGTTCACAATGACTTCATTTCATGTGTCCATGTGTGCCTTGCTTTTAGTGCTTTCAGAAACGTATTCATTATTCATACCAGCCACTAATCCTTGCCACTAACTCAAGTGTGAGGGATGAAAACATACTTACTTCAACAGAAACTGTGATTTTAAAAATTCTTTACAGCACAATTTATTCCTGTTAATTTAACTAATGTGAAGTTGTCTTGTACCTCTAAAATTGCAACTATTAAATAATTATTGTTCTTTTTATTCAGTAACAAGATTTTTTTGCATTCATACAGACGCAGCATGAAGCGCAAAGCCTCCTTCACCTGTCCGTTCAACGGGAGCTGCACCATCACAAAAGACAACCGGCGCCACTGCCAAGCATGTCGTCTTAAACGCTGCATCAACATCGGCATGATGAAAGAATGTGAGTATGGCTGTCTTTCTGTGAGGCCACAGGAATCAGGACATGACGATAATAAAGCTTTGTTTCCTCTTTGAATTTATTATGATTGATACAAACTTGCCGCATCAAACGATGTCATAGAAATGTAAAAATGTATTCAAGTTACATTAGGACTTGAATACATTTCAAAAGACAAGTCCCAACATGAAATGTTGGACTTGAAATTTTTTCAAATCTGAAAAGATTTGAAAATTTGTCTGTGATTGGATTGACTTCAGTCTTACCAGGCGAGCAGAATAGACTTGTAAAGTTTGTTAGTAAATGAAGTGGGAACTGGATCAGTCAAGAAAAACAAAACACACATTCAATAGATCAGCTTTTGCTTGCCGACAGATAAAAATATTTATTACAGATTCACATTTTGCTTTAGTCTGTAAAATACCCACCAAAAATTAGAACTGACTCTTCATGAATTCATTTCTCATAACCACGACTAAGAAAAGACAAGAATATTCATTTGGATCGGACTTTTAAACAAAGTAATTAATGCACTGCTGGCTGGAAGAACCACTGTTCATCATTTTTATTTCATTAGCTGTGATTCATAACAAATCCCCATTGAAAGCCATTTTTTCCATAAGCAAAACAGGTTTTATTCATAACCAACTGTATGAAATCCAATTTAGACCAAATTCATAATCAATGCAGTTTGCTCTCATCAGTATAACTATATAACCAAATTCATATCCAGTTACAGAATGTTGAATTTGAATTTAATTACACTGAACTTTTCCTGTTAAAGGGTTGGGGCTAACATGAGTGTGTGTGTGTGACATATTGTTAAGACTATAGTAAAGCATTATAATGGAAATTATAAAATGTATGTTTCCTGGAGTTGGATACCAGTGTGGCACTTGGTTCTAGTTCACACTTGAACTGCCAGATATCTAGAAAAACTAACACAATTTTATGTATTTCAGCCTTTTATCTACACGAGAAATGGTTGTCGTGAAGCAATCGGATTGGCTGGCATAGGTTTTAACTTTGTTATATACTTCCTTAGGTTTGGCATGTTCAAAACAACTCTCAGGGAAGTATTTGCGTAGATTCATATGGATAAAAGCTTTTCTGAAACCAATCCCGTGTGTATGATATTATTTTTAAACAACGTGGCAGAGATATTTGTTTTTATAAAGGCCAGAGGTTGGTACGTCTCCATTCCTCTCAGACAGACTCCACCGTCTGTATTGTGTCCAAATAGAAATTGATTCAAACTATAGGTGTTTAATATTCATATAAAAAACAATAACACTTCAATAAGTGCTTTAGCGCACAGTAGCAAGTAGCTGTCCTCAGTCAGACTTGCAGGAGGGCAGTGAAAACTCTCAGTTTTCATTCAAGCATTCCAGACATTATAACACTGGGATGACTAAAACGTGGACTATTAGATTTAAAACAACTTCTTGATTCCAAACATCTTCAGCGAAACTGGATAGCACCAGAAAATAGCAAAGCAGAGGGATGAAGTGCTAGCCTAAAGCTAACATATCTACTCTCTGTTTTGAGATGACTGCTTTGAAATTTCCAAAGAGGAGCTGCGCCTCAAAGGCGGGGCTAGGTCCAACCAGGCATTTTGCACAGCTGAATGGTTTTGATGGAGGTTAAAGGACTTCTGAGTCATGCATGACTCAGGGCAGTGTTCCAGATATATGATGTAATGCTGAAAAAAGTCAGGATTGCATAATACTGCCCCTTTAAATATATGGACAAAAATTCAGTGTTATGTTGAGACATTAAACTCTGTCACATAAATAAATCTTCAGCCAACTTATTTTAATTTTGATTTCAAAGCCTGATGTAATATCTCTGCCTCAGCTTTGAATTCTTCTGATGTAATACTCTTTTATTCATCTGAGTTACAGTAGAGCATCTGCTCACAATCCACACAAGGCTTATCTCTATATTTAAATACACTTTTGGAAATTCATTTCAAGTCTTTTATTCAGTGTGAGTTATGCGTGCAACAACCCAGGGAAGAAAAACTACGTTTTTATTTCTAAAAGAGAAGCTTTATTACTTATTTGTGTAATTTTTAACTTTTCTCACAAGGGAATAATCAGTAAAAAGCAAAAAGCAACCTGACTTCCAAGAGAAACAGGAGGCAGTGGAATCAATGGGTTAGCGAAAACCGATCTTATTTGCAGCGAGGATATAGGTAATAGAGTTTACGGTCCATATGCATTAGGTTGGTTGTACCTAGGCCTGTCGCGATAAACGATAAATCAATTAATCGCACGATAAATTAAAACTATCGACCTCATTTTAATTATCGTCTATATCGTTTCTTCCTGCTTTTTTCTTACTGTTGATGACACTGAATGAAAAAAGGCTCAACTCCGGTGCTCTCCACTGACCCTCCCTTCCTTATTTCCTTAGTGTAATGCCCAGCGCGCGCTGCACCATCTTATGTCGCGGATTGTCGGCCCATTATCAAAACTTGAGACCACACATTAGCTGACAGAAAGCCTAGCTATAATGGTTCGATCGAACCGTGTTGTGTCCAACAATGGACACAAAATAATAAATCCAATTCACTAACTTTGAAACCAGGCATTAATCAATTCCTTACTACAATCTACTTGCAATGCATGTGACTAGTGTCAGTCCTGACTGAATGAAAATCATTATAACCTATTTATGTCACCTTAATGAAGAACAGCTGAAAAGTTACCGGGTTTTCTGGTAGAAATTTCGCTCCAACTCTTCCCCTAGTTATTCATACTTTCTTTGCATGAAATGTTGATTAAACATTCATGTTTTCACATATCTTCTCTGATGTCTGCTGGATTTCGGGTTGCGCCAGGTCAGCTGTTCGGGATTCCCTCCGTGTTTCCCCTCAGAAAGCAGGAGGAGAATCCGCGCTTTCTGATTGGCTACCGGTCACATTCAACAGGCTGCGTCACTCTCTCAGTCTGGGCAAATCTTTGATTTAGATCGGAGCGGCCACGACGATCTACCGTAACACACAAGTGACAATCTCAGAACGAAGAACGTTCTAAGATTGTCGTTCGGGGTAAAAAATCCTGTAGTTTGAACTATTGCATCAGGAAGTCGGATTCTTCTCTATTTAAATCTAATTATTACTGAAGGGCAATATACTATACAAACTTCATAATCTGCACTCTTTTGGTTGAATGCAGTGTTTATTTCCACTTTGGCTTTATGTTTAGTTTTTATTCAAGTACACTTATTGTTAATGGAGACTGAGAATCTATTTTATTTTTGTTTTTGGTTGTTTTATTTATTTTGTGCATCAGTCCCAGTGTTAAGTGTTCTTTTTAAAGTAAAGTGTATCTATCTTTGGCAAGAAATTGCATGTATTATTATGTAATTTCCATTAAATCAGTGTAAAAAGGTCTTCAAACAATATTATCGTTTATCACAATAATTTTTGAGACAATTTATCGCCCAGCAAAATCTGTTATCGTGACAGGCCTAGTTGTACCATGTGGCAAACTCAGTCATGAGTCAAAAAGTAACTTCATACAATTTGTGTTTTTCATCTCGCTTTTATCCAAGCAGATGGTCGTTACGGGTAACAAAAACAGCATTGTGCCAGTTTTTGAAAAGCAGCTTGTTTCCAGTTTGCTCTTAACCTTGTTGGTTATGGATGGAGACCACCAGGCATGAGTGTAACACAAGAACTAGACAACATGAGGAGAAGGAGGAGAAACAATGTATCCTAAAGCCACCGGCCCCCGCTCCAGAGTGACATCTTGTCATGACCGATTTATGAAGACTAACATTGATTGGTAGGTTTACTCTGCAAGGGACAAATGATCTCCTTATACAACATTTATTACAGCTTCAGGACTACATCCAAGCCAACTGAAAAGAAACAAAGACTTTCTTTATTTGGGGATTTTAGTTATCGTCAGCTGTTACTTGCCAGCAGGAAATGCTACCTACAGGAGGACATCAGCAGATGTTTAGCTAGTAGGGATTGACAGGAAAAGTTCAAGTAAGGGGTTGAAAGTGAGGGAGACGGGAAGTAGGAGGGTGTTAGAAAGGAGTTGCAGATGTTTCACAAAGTTTAAGCCTGTATTCACAAAAGCAGAACACACTGATGGAGCATGTATTTGCTTGTTTGAATGCGACAAATGATGCATCAAACTCTTTCAGCTGATGTTATGAATACAAACTGTTATGTTGTGAAGTGTTTCATTGAGGAAAGTTGGGCCTTGAGTGAGTGAAGCACATTGACGTATTGAAACTGTTTCTTTGTTTTCAGTCTTTGTTTTAACACAGAGTGATTTAGAATGTCAGGTATGTGTTCGGTTTAGCCTATTATTATTATTATTATTGACATCTACTATTTTTAAAACTCCATTAATCACTACAGGAATTCAAAAGAAAGATTAAAAGGCAGATTATTCAAGATGATCAAGGATGGAAACTTTTTAGCTCTGATGCTGTTTGCCCAACATATGATGGTAGAAAAGATTACACAAACAATCTTGAAGGAGCTAAACTTGTTAATGTTAGAAGCTGCAGCATTTATAATGTTCTTCTAGATTCATGTTTTTAAGTTGCAATAAATAATGTTTTATGGCTTCATTACCGTATGTAGAAAGAAGCGTTTCTGATCTAATATATTTTTTTAAAGAGTTGTTAAAATCTCTTTCATGTTTCACTGTCATGAGTTCACTGTCATGAGTTACAGTTTTAACAAATATATTACAAGTTTTTTTTTTAATAAAAACTTTAAGATGCTTCCCTAAGTTTCTATTGTGCAAGTTTTTAAAGCACCTTAATTTTTCTTTTAATATATCAAAGCATCATTTGATTTGACAATACTACCCACAAGTGTCCTACGTGCAATCAGCCTTTTAACACTCCCTTCAGTGAAACAAATTTATTTTCCAGTTGAGTGTCTTGAGTGCAACCACACCACATACGCTGCATTTACTTTATAGCAGGTCATTAATCTTCCCAAATATGGTCAATAAATTCTGTTTTTG